TTTGGGTACTTGTTAGCTTTAAAAATTTATACATGGAAAATTGATAATTTTAATTTTTAATTTTAGTTTTTAATTCCTAATTCTAATCATTTAAAATTTGATAATCAAAATAAAAAACCACAACAATAAAGCCTAAGGCTTTGTATTTTCCTTTTTACCCTTTATTTTTCCTTTTTGCTGACCACCAAGGTTCAATTTGAATAACATACAAAGTAATGATTCAAAGGATCAAATTTTAGAATGAAATTTTTCAGTAATTGATTAAGTGGGATCCAACCATGATTAGTGGCTACTATAAATTTACCCTTAAAGTGGGTCGTAACTACCATTTTTCTAACATAAAACACGAAAGCAAACCAATTTTAGAGAGAATATATAGTAAAGCAAGAGCAAGAAAAGATCAAAAGAAAACAAGGTGAAGCTCATTTTTAATAAATCTTAATGAACTTTGTTTCTTTATCTTTAAAATAAAATTAAATTACCAGACAAGGAAAAGAAATAGATAAAAATAAAACTAAGATTATCATTTTTTATAAAAGCCCAAATGATGAGCGTGGATGCGTTTTATTTTTTTTCTTTTACTTTTGTAATTGTAATGTACATACCTGGTTAATCCAAAACAGGGGATGTTGAGTACAACTTTCAGGTTGGTTGTTTCTGCGTGCTGTATTGATGCATGGAAATGTTGAAGCAAATATCTGCACTTTGTCACATGCCCAGACATGCATTCTTTTCAATGATGGCCATTCTATGATGTGCATTTGAGAGAAGAAACTCTCGAATTTCTGCAGGTGGCAAAGTTTCAAGCATTTTACTTGAGGAAATACAAGCTTAGTGGCTTCTGTTTGCTCCAAAGGTGATTTGATGATTGGCACTACTTGTGATCCACTAGCATTGAGCCCTTGAGTTTCAGATCTTTCTTCTAATTGAGAATTACTATTGGAGCAAAATCTGATGAGCTGGGATAGGTTTGAGAGCACTAGGGTCTCTAGTTTGGGGAACATTGTCTGGCACATCCTTTCTTCCTCTTCTTCCTCCAATCCTTCCATCAATATTACCACTTCCATCGCCCTACATCCATAAATCTCCAGTTTTTCAAGCTGTGTAAAAACTTTAACCATGGAGGATGTGAATAAATATCTCAAATTGTCACAATCAGTCACCACAAGCTCTCTTAAATTTTGAGCAAATGAAGGTACCGATGTAAGTTCACAGTGCCATATTTGTTGTATCTTAATTGAAGACAACCTCAGCTCCTCCAGCAAAGGAATCTCAACCTGTAAAGAAGCTCCAATTTCATTAAACTTTTAATCTTTAAAGAAAAGTATACAAATGACTTGGAAGTATGGACATTTTCACGCAGTTATGAGTTTTATAAATATTTTGATCAATTACACCAAAATTTTTTTTTTTGGAAAGGGAATTTCTGATGCAGGGCTTAATGCTGTAGCTACTGCTACCTTGAAATTGCTTCGATATAATAGAAAATTTTAATTAATTGGACAAAATTTAATATATATAATCCACAGAATAAATGTAAATGTATTTTTGGGCCAAAAAAATGCAAATGTTTTTTCTTCCCAAAAAGGATAAATGCAAATGCATTCTTTATATAGCCTTTCTTATCGATGTGCATAAGATAGGCATCAAATGCATTTATATCCATAAACTTATGAAAATGAAATAAACTCATGGAAATGTAAGAAACAAGCAGTGAAATATTGTACAACTAACAATAAAGCGTAAAAGAATAAGAAAACTAACCTTGCTGCTAAAAAAGTATTGATGAGATGTCTCTTTTTCATGCTCTCCAGACGATGTAGAAGCAGCGAACGTAACCATATTTTGGCATTCTTTTATAAAAATTCTT